CTTCTAACCCGGAACGGGCGGTGACTATTCAGATTATGAAACGTCTTCACTATAGCCATCCTTGTCTATCGCACGGATTTCTTTACTTTACTTTGTCGCTCTAATGTAAAGGGCCACTCCTATGTATCTCGCTTAATATGCGATGCACGTCAAAAATCTTTATATGTTTTTTGTTGCATTTTTTGAGGCCTTTATGCTCCTAGAAACAGATTTGACATCCATGACCAACTTTGTGAGTAATCATAAAAAAACCGGAAAAGTACCAAAAGTTTAGTCGTTTAATTTTTTTATTTTAAGAGATAGAGAAAACTTATTTTAATAAAATTTCGTGGCAAAATTGATATCTTTCACCTGGTATAAACAGATTTTTGAACTATCGTATGTAAATTGCTGCGCCCTCTACACGGGCAAAAAAAAATGTCATCGAAGTCTATGGCCACAATATAATTGCTCGTTTTTTCCTCTTTCGTGCAATATACTACATGTCGCCTTCATCTTTTATATTTATTATATTTTTTATAATTTCGATATAAAAAATTATTATAAAAATTTTCATATTGCTTATGTTAATGTATAAATTTGTTTTAAACATAATAACTACAAAAAAATTAATAATAAATATAATGTATTTCTTTTAAGCAAAATACAGATTTTCTTATTACTTTACTATAGTACATATTGGTTTTTGCATTAGAGAGAATTAAGCCTTCAACATTGTTCTTTCACAGAGAAAGTAGCTTACGCTAAATGTCGCAAGCTGTAAAAACAAATGTGTTACCCCTATGACCCCAGTAATGTCTTCATTTGGCAAACTGTTTATTGTTATACGTAACTGTCGACTTGAAAATTCTTATCTGAAAAACTATCATTTTGAAGGTGTTATAAAAAAAAGAAATGTATGTCATTTGAGGAAGAGGAAAGCTCTAAATTCTGTAAGTAGTTACAGGGAAAAAAGTGCCTCTTATTATATTTATATTTTATAATTATAAAAAAAACTGGTACATATTTACGCATTAATTGAAATTTTCGATAGCGATAACAAGGTACATTTTATCGAATTATTTTTTCTTCGAGAATCTACCCATGAATTATGACCTATTAGCTCGGGACCACCCTCTATACAATTTTTTTGTAATTGTATAAAAAAATAAATTTAAATTAGTCATATTTATTTTGAAATTTGAGAAATTTAAACAAAATTTTTTATATATTTTTTTATTAAATATAAATTATTTTTCTACATGTGTAAGTATTGAAACCGCAAAATTTTATCGTTTAATTTTGTCGGACAAGCAAAAAAAAAACAATAATTTTGTCGGACAATTAAATTCAAAGATTAATATTGCATTTTTTAAATAATGACGCTTTTGTCCGACGGCTGGTATCACCAATCATGTTGTCGTTAAGTCAACATCTTCAGGGCGTCGGACTGCAAAAACTTATCAAGAATTTTGTCGGACAATAAGATACTTTCATTTCAAATCTTATTACCAAACCCTCCCAGAAAAATCAGCTTGCTGGTTGTCACCAACCATAATGTCACCAAATCGACATATTTGGGGTGGGGGACAAACTCAAAATACCAACATTTTTGTCGGCCAAAATTTTTGGGGGGTTTAAAAAAAAATATATCTCTTTTAAACTTAAAAAAAAAGTGCTGGTCATAACATTCCATGGTTATGTCAGATTGACATATTTTCTTGAAAATCACGGGAAAACTTACCACTGTTGAATTTTCCTCGTAGTCAAATCGTGGGAGACTCGTCAAACTTAAGCTGCACGCAAAGTTACAACTTGCTGGTAATCATTTTTTTCTTTGTACGTGGGCCCGTGGACTATTAGTTCAATAGTAAAAATAAGTGGTACTAAATTATAAACAATTTTTATTTAAATTTAGATCAGAAAAGGTAATCTTAGAACTAAAAAATACAAAAATATTTAATTTAACAGCTAATACTAGTATAACTAACACAGACAAATAATAATTTAAGTAAGATGCTCAAACAGGCCACCTCAATTTCTGACACATAGTAGGACCCTCCTTGGTATAGCATTTATTACGTATCTTCTCAGGTGGCACCGAGGCACAAACTTCTCTTATTTTTAACTTTAGATCTTCCACAGTTTCTGGTATAGTCTGGAAGACTTTATCTTTTATATAACCCCAAAAAAAAAGTCAAGGGGTGACAAATCCGGAGAACGGGCTGGCCATTCAATGGGTCCATGTGTACCCAACCAGCATCCTGGAAATCGTTGATTAAGGTAATTCTGAGCAATTTCCGAATTGTGTGGCGGTGCTTCATCTTGCTGAAAATAAATAAAGTTTTGTCTATTTTCGAGTGGCAAACCATCTAACAACTCGCTAAATTCATTTTCCAAAAATCTGCGATATCTGGCACCCGTCAGTTTACCATCATAGAAGTAAGGTCCTATGATTTTGGTGTCAAGAATTCCCACCCAAAAGTTTATTGAACACCTCTGTTGAAATGTGGTTTCTGTGTGCCAATATAAATTACCATTAGTCCATTTGAAGTGAATGTTTCTATTAAAAATTCCATTATTAGACAAGTTTGACTCATCTGACCACAGAATTCTTCTGCATATAAAAGGATCTTCCCTCTTTCTTTCTTGTAACCACCTACAGAATCTTAATCTCCTCGGTTTATCTGCCTCTCTCAAGTGATGCACTTTTTTCACCTTATAACACCTGAAACCATTTTTTCGCAATAACCTTCTTGCACTATCCTTCTTTACATTGCAGTTTACTGAAATTTCTCTCAAAGATGTATTAGTGTTTTGTTCATTTTTCCTATTCACATAATTTAAAATTCTGTTAGCATTACCTATGTTATTAACAACATTAGCTGATTTTATTCCCCTGTCCTTCTTAAAAGATCCATATCTTCGAAGGTTTTCTCGTAATTTTGAAAAAGTTCTTCTGTTGGGTTGGGCGGCATTTGGGAATTTATTTCTATATTCCGCCAGTGCTTGAGCAGAATTGAAATTGTATTGATAGTACAATACAAACATATTATACTTCTCAATATTTGAAAATACTAATTTTATTGAAAATTAAAGTTTTTTAAATCACAATGAACTGTAACAATTTTCAAACCAACAGATGACAACAATAAACAATTACACTGACATTACTGGTCATAGCTTGCTACACTTAGCGTAAGCTACTTTATCCATGCAAGAACAATGTTTAAGGCTCAGTTCTCTCTAATGTTAAAACCAATACTATAACAATGTAATAAGAAACTTTGTATTTTGCTTAAAAGGTGCTGGCCAAACCGTGACGGATAGACCCAGGAAGTTGGCTGTGCATAACACCGCTTTCAGGAGACATCTGTCGTATACAGTACATGGTGCGGCAGCGGCGTTGTCTGGCGGCGGGTTGACTGTGCATAACATCGCCCTCGTTTTGACGAACGTTGCGAGGTACCTTGACTGAAACTGCTGGTTGACTATGCATAACATGCATAGACCCAGGGAGTTGGCTGTGCATAACACCGCTTCCAGGAGAAATCTGTCACCGGCCGCGCGTCCGAACGTGCACTCGAATAGACTTTGCCACCCGTCACCCAAACTATTCCTGTCCTTGATTACCGTTATTGGTACTATTGGTACCGTGCTTATTTATGCCATTTGTGTATTGCTTGCTTCGCTTCCTCCTTGGCTGGTATTAACTCCGCATAATTGTCCGTTGCATTTGCTAGAAACCGCCGACGATATTCATTTGTAGAATTAGAGTAGCCCGTAATTTATTTTTCTTTGTTTCAGAGCCCTTTGGAATCGGCATATTTGTTGATTATTTACTACTCTGATTTACTAACTCTCCTTTCCTTTCTAGCACCGACCGCAACTAAAACCGATTATTTATTTATGGCGTACCGTTTTCTTAAAGCATTAGATTGTTTATTGTAAAAATAAACTAAACGCCTAATACCGCATTTGCCTACCGTACCGATTTTTTGTGTCCTGAACACCGATATTTTGACTATCCTCTAATTTTATTATTTATTTACAGCTCCGGAAAATCGAATAAGCATTTTTTTTAATCCCGCGATATATAATTGCTCTAACCAATTTTATTTTATTCACACCGTGTGTAAAGTATATTTACTTTTCTGATTTTAGTTGTTTATAAAAATTGTAATTAGAATTTGTTTTGCTTTTGGTTGTTTCAATTGCCGTAGGCCTTAGTAAGGTAAAATAAATCTAGTAAAGATATTTCCAGTTGTATTCATTTTTAACACCGACAAACCTGATAAAATTCCGATCAGTAAAAAGTCTCTATCTTTTTGTGACCTACACTGATAAGCCCGTTTATTTTAAAAGGAAAATAACACTACACTCAGAGAACTACTTTGATTAAAATTAAGAGAAATATAACAGACCCCTGGAATTAAACTTTCTTCACTGTAGCTATCCCGAGTACTTACTCTAAACCAAGGGTAGGTTTCCCCCACGTAAAAAATTGGGAAACTGGCGCCCGAGACAAAAACCGAACAAAAAGATTCAATTCGGAGTACGTTCCTGTGACGTCACTCACCACCGCCGGCTGCCAACCACCGCTGCCGATAAACTAGTAGTCAAGGGTCGTCATAAAATTAGGCGTCCAAATAGGGACGTCAGTGACGTCAATAAATCTAGTAAATCAGAATTCGCAATTGTGAATTAAGATTCTGTTTAGAGTTGGTAGTATACCGGGGGCAGCCACAAGTAACGTCTGAACCGAACCGTCACCACCGCAAAATCAAAACCAAAATAAAGTAAAGTATATAAAGGGTGTTACAAAAATTTGGCGACTGAGTAAAGTACGTTACAATATATTGCCATAGTAAAAATATTAAGACTTTCAGTAACAATGTTTGTATAGATTTTCAGGGATTCTGAAAAATGACGGACTAATATTAGATTAGGTTAGTTAAATTATATATTATAAGTAGGTATAATACATGCATTGAAAATTTAAATTATTTAAACAAACTTACTTTGACGATTTTTAATTGAAACTACATCTTCATTAAAAGGTTGCTCGGTAATATGGGCAAAAGCTTCCGCAGTGTTGCAGTACCCATGATGTACTAGATATGTAGACACCATTCTAAAATAAAAACAATCAAATATTTCCCTTATTAAGAATAAAAAATGAAATAACTATTAAAGGACTCAGCAGGATCCTTATGGGAAATGGTTTTCGGTCAAATTTGTTCAAACTTTGGATTCTGGTAATACCTGATATGTAGATCAAAAGTTATAAAAATTCGTCCTTTCAAGATACAGCTGTTCCAAGATAGGCTTTAAGTACGTTTGGCTATAACGTAATGCTATTGTATGGATATACACCTGCACATACACCCACACTCACACACTAGTGATGTAACGAATATCCGCATTCGCATTCGCAAATATCTTTGAATATTTTGCGAATATGAACGTGAATGAAAAATACAGAATGTGAAAACAATATTGGGTAAATTAAACAAAAAAGTATTCATTTCTTTTCTTTTTAATTACAAAACTTACTTAAAACAATTATATCTTTCTATAATCAAGGAGTTGATTTACTCATGTTAAGAAATAACTAACAATAGTCTAACCTCACAATTCACACTCATCTGAGCCGGTAGCGAAAACAAAACAAAATTCCAATCATACAAAAATACCGTTCTAATACGCTAATTTCTTTAGCCTCTAGCGCCGCTGTCACCAGAAATATTATGTGCGTCGCGCGCGGCATATTTTGAATGATAGATGAACGGCGCTATATTTAAAAACTGAATATTCGCATTCGCGAATGTCAACAACAGATGATAGCACGCGAAAGTGACAATCAGTATCATTACAACGAAACTGTCACTATGCCTACTATGAAAAAATGTTTTAAAAACGTTACTGTTCTGAGCCATACATTATTTTAAAAATAATTATTTCTAATTAAACAATGCAGAATTCGAAAAAAAAAATAAAGAAATTTTTTCTTTAAAAAAGTATACCTAATTCAATAAAAAATATTATTTGCTTGGTAATTCAAAGGAATAAAAGCAAATTCGAAAAATTTCTGTTAAAGGTAGTTAGAAAACTATCCTTATTTATAACCGATTTTAATGAAACTTATGGTAGTTATGGTATGACTATTACGTACAAATTTTATTCCATTATCTTAATCAGAAACAATTTTAAAAAATATACAAATGATAAGACCCCTTTGGAGAGCCATATCTCAGTAACGGTACTCTGAAGGACCAATGTTTATAGGAACCTTTTTTACTATTTTTGGCTCTACTTTCACCTCAAATTTTATAAAAACTTTTCCAAACACCCTTTATAAGACAGGGTGGGTGTTAGTGTGGGAAAGTACAATAACTACCTTGTTATTCATCATACAGAAAAAAAGTTTATATAAAAGTTGTACAAAATCAAGAAATCTAAACTACAAAATTAATATGAAACATACAGGGCATTATTAAAAACGGGACATGCCAAATATTATTTTTTATACGGAACACCCTGTATATTTTTAAACACATCTATTTATGAGACGATGCTATATATGGCAAGGCTCCTATATTAACTAATGTCGGTATTTTATACAGGGCATTTTTTATAGTACGATCACTTTTAGACAGTTCATACTTGATTTTCTAAAATTTTTGAAATGGTACATATCGGTTCACTTCAACTTTTATTAAGCATGTTCTACACCTAAAATTGTTAGTTTTTAACATATAGCAACATTTCTGAAAAAAACAAGTTCTTATTATTTTTAGTCACACGAGATGGCTTTGGAAAAAATTGTGTTAACTTGTCAGTTACTAGTAAATATTTATTAGTTGGTATGACTAGAGAGTAATCGGAAACGTACTCGGAAACGTAAGTCATTTACCAATTCAGAATATTTGCGCCACGACGGGCAAACCTGTATATGCCCGTCGAGTGCTGTATCGGCTAAGGCCAGCTAAGGCTTTTCGCCAGCGATTGGAAATACACATATATGTATATTTATTTGCTGTAATTTTGTTCTTTAAATGAATTTTTAAACATTAGAACAATTAATTTTTCCCTGGAAAGGTATTCCAGAAAACAAATTTTAATAAATGAAATAATAAACCATTTTATAATGTGTAAATCGAGTTAAAAAATAAATATCTACGGTGCTATGTTGAATATTCTGTGATAATGATAATTATAATTATTAAGTTTTTTTTAACTCGTTGCTGTTAAACTGAATTAAGAATGATTGCGGAGAAATTTTCATTGTTTTAATAGGTATATTTAAGTTTGTAAATATGGAAGTGTTGTAAATTTTTAGGACTTTTAAATCCAATATTTATTTTTTCTTCAAATAATAAAGAAACTGTGACATAAAAAAAAACGTTCACATCAAGTTACAAAATAGGCTTCACTCGTATATTCCTCGAGTACTTACATATCATCTTGCGATTTGTCATGTCGTTTGTTTATGTTTAACCTTGACAAGATTAGGGTTTCTAGTGGTGGTTTAGGCAAGTTTTTATTGTTTAATAGTTTGGAGTAAAGTAAAATGGCAAGTGAAATTCGCGAATTGGTGAGTAGCAATGTTAATGTATTGTTGATTTTTTTATTAGATAAAAAATTTAGTACGTTGACTTTCGATGATAAATTATTTATTTCAAAATTAAAACCTACGCCTGACATGAAAAATTTAACAAATAAAAACAATTACGGAAGTAACGGATCATTTAGTAAAAATTGGTACAATAAATATGAGTGGTTAACAGGCAGTGAAACCAAAACCAAATTATATTGGTAGAATTGCTTACTATGTAATGAAAAAAGTAAAACACCGTGGAACTATCTAGGATATTCAGATCTGAAACATATTAATGAATCCTTAAAAAAAAACAAGAGCGATCGAATTAGCATACATATTCATCATTAAAATTTAAATTATTAGGAAAAAAAACATTCAAACTTTTATTGATTCCGCATTTTATGAGAATATTTTAAAACATAATAAAGTCGTGGACGAAAATAGACATTGTAAAGCACTTTATTGATATGATTATTTACTTAGCTACACCAGAACAAGATTTAAGAACCATAATGAATCAGATAATTCCATTAATCAAGGCAATTTTCGTGAGCTTGCAAACATACTTTCAAGGTATGATAATAAATTTAAAGTGTTTTTAGAAAAAAGTCTAGGTTTTAGCAGCCTTTCAAAAACTATTCAAAATGATTTAATTGAGAGCATCAATGGAGTAGCATCCGAAGTGATATTTTCAGAAATAAGAAATGCTCTATATTTTGCGTGGCAAGTACCCAAATGAAACAACGGATGTTAAATGCTTATCCCAGTTATTAGTAATTTTTAGATATGTTCATTGTGGTAAAGTAGTTGAAAGATTTATGGGTTTTTTTATGTAAGCAAGGGGAAAAGCTGCGGATCATTTGTTAACAGAAAATTTAAAAAATTTTGATATAGGAAATAAATTAGTAGGCCAGTAGAGTGCAATTATTCCTATATGATATTAAGTTACATGAGAAAAAATATTTTGCCCACCCATCTCAAAAAATCACGAGCCGCCACTGTCACCTTGCCTAATAGCTGTACTCTTTACAGGTGTTAAGTGTACATATATGAAATGTAATAAATTCTTGTTTACATTGCTGGTGCTTACTAGAGCTTCATCATCTTGCATAGGTGTTAATACTGTTGTTGACTCTAAAATATCTTTTACTATATCTTGTCTTTGTCGTTTTATAAATGCAGAATTCTCAGAAGTACTTGTAGTTCCCTTTCCACATTGTTGATTTTCAGAAATATGTGGACCCACATCTTGTTTTATTTCGAAAAGCACATAATTTTCCATGTCTTTTTCGAACTAAAATATAACAAGAGCGTTAAGAATCTTGTAAAAATTATTATGAAATTACCACATTAAAGCGATCTTTACAACATAAGAAACCACTTCGTGATTTGGGCATATCTTTTCTAACTGCTTTAAACCACTTCAATTTACTAGAATAGTCCGTTGGTACAGTTACAAAATATTTATTTGGATTATTTATTGAAGTATTTGTGCAAGATGGTGCAAAACACAACTTATAAAGTTTATTTGTTGCAGCTATCTTAATCTGTTCACACTATACAGGGTGGTCCGAATTTTATGCAGGAAACTTCGAGGGCAGATAGATCTCTAATAGGTGTTTGCCTTATAAATATAGGTCTGGAACGGCCTCGTCTTAGAGATACAGGGTGTTGAAGTTGTTTAAAAAAATTGATTTGTTTATATCTCCGGACTCTATTAACCGATCTCAATAAAATTTGGTACAGATAATGTATGACAGTAGGCCTTGCATTCCCTAAAATATGAGCTCTAAAGGTTCAACCAGTGGTGTACAACTGGACAGGAGTCGCCCTCTTTTTATAAAAAAAAAACTACGCCACTGTATTTTTTACAAGTTATTGTAACGGATTTATATTCTAATGCACTAAATACGTAAAAAAGTTAACTAGAATTTTATCCCCAAGATTCACCGTTCTCAAGTTATTCATACTAATACAATCCCCTTGTGGCAGATACTTCAAACCATAATACTACAAGAATATTTATGTTTATGCTTAAAAGTAAGTGCAATTTGTAAGTAGATCAACAAAATTATTTCCACATCACCTGCGAGGTAGTGTTCCTAGAGTGTTTTAGTTTCCTCTGGAGGCTTAATCCACTATTTTTACAAATAAAAATTTAAATCAAAATAATAATAAAAATACATTTACCAAGCAACAACAATTAAACAAGAAATGAAATTAACGTTACGTATTTGCAACAATTGTTCAAAATGCGAACCATCACAATGATACATTTCTGATAACTTCTATTCATGATTAAATGGAATTACCTAACTAATATCATGTGGTGGTTTTCTTTTAATTCATTACACCCGTCTTCTATTCGCTGCAGTAGTTGTGGTCTTGTATCTATTGGAGTAGAATAAACTTTTACTTTTCAGATAGGTAACCCTAAACATAGAAGTCCAGAGGGTTTAGATCTGGCGATCTGGCTGTCCAAGCATGCGGACCACCCGTATACAGGCTGTTACAAATTCGCTTCTCACTAT